TAATGCCGGAGGCTTAAGTGGAGAGGAAATGTTTTGAGAATGATGAGGGCAATGAATGTACAAATGCACTTTACACAATTGATGTATGTATGGAATGTGATAAGAGTTGTATGAGCCCCTAATAAAATGATTAAGAAATAACTAAATAAATAAAGGATTCTGCTCAGTTGCTGATGGAGCCCTGACGGCACAGAGCCCTGGACTGCTAACCAGAAGGTTGGTGCTTCCAACCCACCAGCTGCTCCTTGGAAGAAAGATGGGGCTGTCTGCTTCTGTAAAGATTTACCGTCTCAGAAGCCCTAGGGAACAGTTAGTTCTTCTCTATGCTATAGGGTCATTATAAGTCCGGGTCAACTAGATGGCAGTGGGTTTGGTCAGTTAATAATGATGTAACTAATAATGTCATACAGTATAGAAAGCTCTTGGAAAGTAATTTTAATATACATAATAATCTAAGAAATATTACACTTAAACAGTCCACACCTATATCACATTATTCTATGATTGAAGTGGATAATGAATATTACTAAGGATTTTGTATGGTCTGGTTTGGGAGGCCATGGTGGGAGGGGTGGCCCCATGAGTGACCTCACTGCCTTATGACAGTAAACCCCAGTAGGTATGGTAAAAATCAAGACAAAATAAAATTCACTAGGTTTGATAGCAATAATCGTCACCACCCCTCCCATTTTTTAAAGTCACTAATTTTTAAGATTCAATCTTCTCTTGACTTTCTGGTGGAAATTTTAATAAGTAATAAATTGCCCAAAAGACTAACGATGGAAAAGCAAAGACCCAGTTAATCCACAAACTAGATTCTCAATTCAGCACCTGAACAGTTGAGGCAATAGTCATTTACCTTCTCAGAGGCTGGAGGAGACTCGAGACTCCACAAAGAGGTACCGAGAAGTTCTCTAACCTAAGCTTGCCGAAACGAGTTCTTGATCTAGGGATGGTTCTTGATCTAGGGATGTTCTGTGTTCCGTTGCCTCTCCCTCCCACCTCCCAGCTTCATTTTTCAATTCTCGGGGAATCATAGTGGAGCGAGGAAGCGGGCATGAGTATGAAGTGTTGCCTCCTGTCTTCGTGGTTCTGTGAAATCCCGTCTGGCCTTCCTGGTTGGAATCTAGTGTCAGCATCCATTACATCTGAAGTTCCACTTTTCTCTGATGCCCAGCCCGGCCCGCACCCTTCCCCTAAGCTGTTCCACACCCGGCTGTATTTTTAATGCTGAAATTTGGCAACCCTTTCCAAACCCAACCATCAGCATGTAATGAAACGGAAGATCTTTATCTGTGTCTCGCACTTGGATGAGGTGGGAAATGCAGGGTGCTTCTGTATTGAGCAGGTATTATTCTGCAGGAGTGTGGGTGGTAGAGATGTTGTGGAGATCCTCTCACCTCATGAAGGGAGGGGAGGATCAGCATCAACACCAGCCCAAGACTGATTTCTGTAAAGCAGAGGCCAGACATTCCTCTGCTCGCCAACCACACCACGTCGCCAGTCTTGACATCAGCTGACCCTCCCAGGGCGCTCTCTACTTTTCCTGCTGAGTAATTTCTTGCAATGACTACCCAGAGCTCACAGACCATCCTCACTGGGAGTCAATCAGGGAAGTATAGTTCACGATCAGGAGCAACAGGATATGTTCTTTAGTCAGGACAACTCCAGGCAGACCTCACTTGGGGCTCCTGGTCTCTTCCGGTTAGCCTGTCCCCTTTGTAGCAAGTGTCTGATAGCTGTTTAACTCCTGGATGCGGTCCAAGGGTATATACCATGCCGCTAGGAAGCCTTCTGGCCAAAGCACTCAGCTCCCTCACTCAGCCCCTTGCTTTGGGGGCCACCATGCCATCTCTCACTAGTCTCCCGGTCCTGCTGCCATGAGGACTTTGCCGCTGAGTCTCACCATCTCACCCCGTTTGTTTCTGGTGTTTCCGCTCTCGTTCACTTGCGTCTAGGAGGTTTTCAATGTAAGGACTCCAGATGTAAAGGACACAGCTCCTACTTGCTCTCTCTCTTTGTTTTATTTTTTATGGTAGTGCGGGCCCTCTTTTCACTTTGGGGATGACTCGTGTGAAGCCTAGCAGGTTGGTGAAACTGACCAATCCCCTTGTTAGGATTCCATGCACTTTACTTGCCTGGTCCCATTCCCACAAGGGGGCCAAGCACCTTGTTTCATTATTATCAAGCTGTCCAAGCCCCTTGGTAGGGCTGGCAGTTAGATTTAATGTCAGCTTGACCCTGTGTGAGTGTGTAGGGTGGACCCATAGGGTTGTGGCCTTTTTATAAAAGACAGTGAGAACTCTGGCTTCTTCACTCACCCTGCCTGCTGGGATTCTGTGCTTGCCTCCCTCCGGGGGCGGTCCCATGTGGAATGCTGACGAGGAAGCCAACCTGGGAGCTAGCGGTGTCCTGCCCAGTTTCCACTGAACTTGGGTCTACATGACTCTGCACCCAAGGGCCTGTGATCTCCTTGCTTCCCGCTTCTCCATTCCGTTCTGTGCATCAACCTGCAGCTACATGGTCTGAAGAGGCTCCGTCTAGCTCGGGACCCATGGATTGAATTCACACTGTGCTGGGACGCCGTCTTGATATAGAATTGCTTATTAATATAAGGTTCTTTCTTCTATATATTTGAGTGTCCCCGATTTTGTTTCCCCAGATAACCCAGCCTAACACCTCGGGTCAGAAGCACCTTATTTGCATAGTCCCACCCAATCATTTTGTAGCGGCACAAGGCCGCAGGGAGAAAACCTACGTAAAAGCAATGAATCCCCCTGCACGTTAGTGTGCTTAGCTGCTAGCCAAAAGGCTGACCTCTCGAGTCCTCAGAAGAAAGGTCTGGCTGTCTGCTTGTGAAAAACCAGCCACTGAACACTGCCGAGCAGAGGTCTCCCCTGACACCCACCAGCCTGTCAGGGGTCAGAAGGAACTCAGAGACAAAAAGCCAGTCAGGTGAGGCATTCATTCATGCAATCTGCAATCCGGCCACCCCTCCTCCCAGGGGTTCCTGCCCTCTGTCTTCAGGAGCATCTGTCCCTCTCTTTTCACACTTTACCTCATGCTGGCTGCAAACCTAGCCACTGCTCTGCAGAGAAAAGATCTGGCCATTTGTTTCTATAAAGATTACCCACTTCCAGCATATCAGCTGCAACTCAGGGATCCTACAGGGTCAAATTAGAACCGCTCCATAGGGCTTCTAAATCCTTACAGGTGCAGACACGCCTCATCTTTCTCCCATGGAGTGTGCTGGTGGGTTTGAACCACTGACCTTGAAGTTAGTGGGCCAGTGCGTAACCCACAGTGTTACCACCAAGATTATAACCCTGGAAACCTCGTGGGGCAGTTCTACTCTGCTCGTTAGAGTCACCAAGAGTCAGAATGGACGCAGTGGCACCCAAGGGACACAACTGGATGCTCAAACGACAGGTGTTTCACTGCTCTGGGCATCTCTGTACTTAGTCTGTGCTAAGACGTGTTCGCCAACGAATGAACGACAGTCACAATCCTCTCCCTCCCTAGAGGCTTGAAACTGGCTCATCATTGACAACTTCCCTCCCCTTTCCCCACATCCAGGAAATTGCCAAGTCCTGGTAATTCCTTTGCAGCATTTCTCACATTCCTTTTTCATTTGCAACTAACACCACCTTCAGCTTCCTAACTCCTCACTCCCAAATCACTGAAAGTTTCTCCTAATCAATTTTCTGGGCCACCAACTTACCTGATACTAGTTCTCTGATCCAAGCTTCCTACCCCCAAATGACAGTGGGGTGTGGGTGGGGGTGGACAAGAAGGGCTGGAGTTCTGAAGTCTGGCAGGAGGTAATAGAAGTTGAAGTGAGCTTAGGTGGTGGGGAGCGGGGTTCAGGAAGGCTTTGCCAAAGAGTTCCAAATTCACTTCCTAAATACCACTTGGGTCTCACCACTCCTCAAAGCCCAGGCGCTTCTCTCTCCGTAGGCAGACCTAAGCCAGGTTTTGAAAGAGAATTCAGCTAGGTGGGAGATGTGTTAGGAACCGAGTGGAAAGAGGTTGTGGTGGGTGGATTTGGATTGGACCGTTGGTGCTGGTGCTGGTGGTTGCCAGGCGACTATCATGGGCCCTACACAGCAACCTGGGAGGGAGAAGGTGGTTTTAACTCGGTTTTGCAGCCCCGGAAGGCTTCCTCGCAGAGGAAAACAGAATTCCGCTGGTACCTTCTGGAAAGGTGCCCATGTGCAGAGAGATTACAGGGAGGGAGACTAAATGGTGGCCAATTAGCAGGTCATTCAACTATTCATCGCTAAGGTGACACTGTCCAGGCTTGGGAGAACAGCAGCAATCCACTCGTATAGGAAGAGTCTAAGATTCATAGTCTTTAGCATCGTCTAAAGGAGACATTCTTATCCATCAGCAAGTTTCACCTGTGCACCTCCCCAAAGGGGAGGAACATGCTAGACCTTACCATGTGCTCTGGGTGCCCCAAGGCTTCCTGCGGCACGTTTCTGTCCCTCCTTGGGGCCGAGTCTCCAGGACACTATGCTGCCACAGCCCCACCATCATGAGGTGCAGGGGCCAGACTGTCTCCTTTGTGTGTGGGTACCCAGGCCCACAACATCCTCTTGGGTTGAAATCTTCACAGAAGCAAATCCCACATGTGCTGAAAGTAGTTAAAGTCTGTCACTCTTATCCCATTGGACCTCAATTTTCTGAGGGGCCACTTGTCAGGACCCACCAACCCCAACGCTGGCACCTCAAGTGTCCTGGTTAAGACTTCTTGCCCTAGGACACATTTCAGCAAACTTTTGAAACACAAGAGCCAATCCCCATCATCCCTCACAACAATTAAAAAATTATACACGGGTCATAAACCTTTTTTTTTTTTTTTACAAGTAAATGAATCGCCATTGTCTGACTAATGGCCTTTAGAATTTGTCCAGGTTCCATCGAAGCCACATGTATGTACCAGAAAGAACCACCTATGGCCTGTGCTGTGAGCCGCAGTCTCTGCCCTGGGCCGACAAGCTGGCTCTCTTGTAATTGTGAACGGCTGGGCAGGAGGAGAACCAGCAGAAAGTGGGTCCTTGGCCTCTTTTAGCGGCCTCCTCAGGACTTTGGCACAAGACAGAGAAACTCTGACCAGAGGGTTGTCCACACTGCCATGTGTGTATGCAGATGGAAGTAGAGAAGAGAGTTCTAGGTTCTAGCTCTCCTTCCTCCTTGTTGCTCAGTAGCCCACCTTTCTAGAAGATATTTGAAGCTTTCCCCAACCCCCCATCCAGGATAAGCACACTCTTCTCTTTGCCCTTGTCCATCTCATTCCCTTCTTCTGCCCTCACTGCCATCTTGAGTTTGAACATAGGAGCTGAGCCTCAGAGTTCTGTCGCCATAGCTCTCTGAAGAGGGAGTCTTTGACCTTCCCCGGGGCCAGAACACTCCACTTGGAGGACATCTGAACGCTGAGTTGTCTTTACCTCCTCCTAGGCTGGGAGCTCCCTCTGGGGCAGGGACAAGGGCCTGCCCTATTGTTGTGTGCCCACGGTCTCTATGGCAATGCCCCTTGTGGGAAATGCAAGGGGAACCAGATCCCCTGCACATCCTTTCTTTGCAGCCTCCACGCCAATGGCTTGAGGTATTCAGGAGATGATGGACAGGTGACTCCCTGGGTCCTCAGAGGCGTGCTGCAGCAGAAGGCTGATTGGCGGGGCTCCCCCAGGGGCCAGTCCCAAGCCTGACTTGGGCTCCAGGACGCAAAGTGTCAGATCACTCCCGCGATCTCGCTGGTGCTGGCTACAGATCAGCTTCTCTTTAGCGTCTGCTTTCTCCACCTGACCCCAGCCAGCCCACAAATTCCTGCCCCCGCCAGCCGCTCGCTCTTTCCAACCTTTATTCTCAGCCCGCCCAAGGATGGCTCTGCAGGATGTGTGCGACTGGCAGGCTCCCGACGCCCAAGGACCATCGCCTCACCTGCCTCGGGCGGGTGGCTGGGCCGTGCCCCGGGGCTGTGACCCACCAGCCTTCCTGCGGGCTCACGGCCCCCCGCTAGCCCACGGCACCACCACCCTGGCCTTCCGCTTCCGACACGGGGTCATCGCGGCGGCCGACACGCGCTCCTCCTGCGGCAGCTACGTGGCTTGCCCGGCCTCGCGCAAAGTCATCCCGGTGCACCAGCACCTCCTGGGCACCACGTCGGGCACCTCCGCCGACTGCGCCGCGTGGTACCGGGTGCTCGGGCGGGAGCTGCGGCTGCGGGCACTGAGAGAGGGTCGCCTGCCCAGTGTGGCGGGCGCGGCCAAGCTCCTGTCCACTCTGATGGCCCGCTACCGGGGGCTGGATCTCTGCGTGGCCACCGCCCTGTGCGGCTGGGACCGCTCGGGGCCCGCCCTCTTCTACGTCTACAGCGACGGCACTCGTCTGCAGGGGGACATCTTCTCGGTGGGCTCGGGGTCCCCCTATGCCTACGGCGTGCTGGACGGCGGCTACCGCTACGACATGACCTCCTCAGAGGCCTACGCTCTGGCCCTCCGGGCCGTGGCCCACGCCACCCGTCGGGACGCCTACTCCGGGGGGTCTGTGGACCTCTTCCACGTGCGGGAGAGTGGGTGGACGTGCGTGTCTCGGGGCGACGCCTGCGTGCTGTATGCAGAGCTGCAGGAGCCCCCGAAGGCCGGGGAGGAGGAGGCCAGCGAGGCCGGGTCGTGAGCCGGGCACGGGGTGGGGCGGTGGGACTCGGGGGAGGGCCCCGTGGGCGCCACATCTGGCCCGGGCCCTGCCTCCCTCTGGGCTGCGGTTAGGTTTGCTGCACGCCTACATGCCTTTTTTTCCGCCTCCCGGAGTGACGGCTGACTCTGTCCAACACCTTTCTGTCATAACCAATAGATTGCTCCAGCCGCCTTCCCGCACCCCGTCGTCCTTTCTGTGCATGCAACGCGCCGACGACTGCTCGCTGGACACTGACCGAGCTAGGGGCACACAGCAGGTTGAGTGTGGCTTGAATTCCTCCCTTTCCTCCCTACAGGCTTCTGGGGTGGTGTCTTTATCTCCTGCTTTTGCAATCCCTGAGCTCTCTCTGGGGCAGGAAGGAGAGAGGGAGGGATGAACTACGATGATCCTCTCCTGCCCCCTCGACCCCACCCCTCCGCCCAGAAACCCTGACTTGGAGATCCAAGCTGACAGCCCGGGAGGGATGCCCACCTCCCACCATCCAAGTGGAGAGAAAGCAGGGTGGGACCTAGGAGTGGGCCTGTTGGGCCCTCCGCAGGTGCCGGTGCTGCTTCTCCTCATCCCACCCTCCCCTTCAGTCCCAAGAGGAAGGCGGCCTGTCTTCCCTCCTGAGCACCCACCCCTTCCTTGGCCTCCACCCAGAGGAGCTCTAACCCTGCACTTTAGGGGAAGAAGTCTTGCAGGCTGAGGCTGGTCAGCAGGATGGGGAGACCTCTGGCCTCTGACCCTAAGGGGAAGAGATAAGAAAGGGCAAGGGTACCGCAGGAAGGAGCCCAGCAAGTGAAGCAGGGAGGAAATTGTGGGAAAGGGGCCTGAGGAAGCGGCCTGGTACATTGGAGGACTTGCCTTCAAACCTGGGCCAAGCAGTCTGGCCTGCAGCCTCCCTAGCACTCCCCCTGGGCCCCTGCCACTCCCCAGTGTCAGGAGAGGGGGTACAGGACCCTGGAGGGAAGGCCTGAGGTCAGGGACCCCTGAGGCAGCCTAGTCTCATGGAGGTGTGATGAGGAGGGAGTTTCATGCTGGACTGACGTCAGGCATGGCATCTTGAAGGGGCACATTCTGGGCCACAGATGTCCTTAGCCCTGTGTCCATCCAGCTACAGGTGAGCGAAGCACACAGCTGCTGTGTGCTGTGCACTGCACATGCGTGCGGGCGCAGGTGATGGGTGAGCTGCTAGACTATAAGCCAGAGAGCGACACCGAAGTGTGGAGAGCTGTGGCCCTTCATCCTGCCAGGAGAAATGCCAGGCCCTGGCATCCTTTGGGGAAAATGTTCTCCGGTGAAAAGTGGCAGGGTTCGCCACTTCCCCAGCCCTCCCCCACTGGTGGTTTCAAGGCCTCAGGGAGGCCGTGTGTGTGTGTGTGTGTGTGTGTGTGTGTGTGTGTGTGTGAGAGAGAGAGCACCCAGCTTTAGTCAAATCCTCCAATGCCCTGCCAGGCTCCTGGCCTGGCTGAGCTTCTTCCAAAGTCTGTCCCTGCCCAAGTCGCAGCAGCTGGGGCACAATGCCCGAGGGTCGGCCAGGCACTGCTGGCCACTGCATGCTCCTTAGGTCCACTGTTTAGTGGGAGGCCCTCAGGGTGGGGGGGCTTTCCTGGTCCTCACTCTGCATGCACTGTCCCTTCTGATGATGAGGGATTTGAAGATAGAGCTTAACCCAAGGACCTACTGACAGGTCTGTTTCCCTGGGTCCTCAGCTTCCTGCCCCCTCCACTATAGTTTTAGGGAGTTGGGGGAAGACCTCAGGGTGGTGTTGGTGGAGGGACTGGGACCCTTTTATACACCCTGCACCACCTCCAAGGGGCCCCCAGCCAGGCCTTTGTCTCCCCAGTTATTCCTGAAGGTTTAATGTAGGTATAAGGGGAGACCAAAGGGACAGAGAGCTTGCCCTTCCCAGCCAGAACTGATGGCCTCACCCCCTCTGATGCCCTGCTTGGGCTGCTACCTCATAACCCTGTCTGTCCCCAGGCCACTAACATTCTGCTCTTACCCAGGTCTGGGTGTCGGGTCCAGCTTTCAGCAGAGTAAAATGTCATTTCCCGCTCTGGGTCACGGTCCTGTTCTCTTACCACCTGGTGCCCTAATCCAGCAGAAAAGGTGTTGGAGGAGGCACCTTCCTCCTCCCCAGGTTCCTGTGCTCTAGGGCCTGACCCAGCCACTCTGATCTGCAGACCCTGAAGCCTGCTTCTGGCTCTGACTCCTGGGTGCAGTCTTTGGTCCCGCTGGGCTGGGTCTGGGAAGAGCTGGCACTTCTCAGTTCCTACCCTCATTGACCCTGTCTCTGAGTACCACCAGAGCTTTGTCTCCCCCCAACTCTTGTGACCAGAGCCTGGGGGGAGATGAAAGTGGCGACAGTGGACCCAGATTCCACGACTCACCCTGGTTCACCCTTTCCCCAGGAGAAGTTGGCTAGGCCCCTTCTTTTCCCCACCACCCCAATTTCTCTCTAGTCTGAACCCCTCTTGCTCTTCCCAGTAGCTCTCCTGCCCCCTCTGGCCAATCTCCATATTTAATTGCCTTCCAGTTTGAAACCAACAGGAACCCTGAGATCTGTGGCGGTGGGGAAGCAGTGATGTCATTTTCTCTTCACTTCTGCTACTGAATGAACTCAAATTCCCCTCTATTGACCTTGCTCCTGGATAGCCAGCAAATCCAAATCAAACCAAACTCACTGTCGACTCGTAGCGACCCTATAGGGCAGAGTAGAACTACCCCTGTGTTTCCGACTGTACCTGTTTACAGTAGAAAGCCCCCCCCAGCTGTCTCTCCCCTCCCCCCACACAGCAGCTCTTGGTTTTGAACTTGGGACTCTGTGGCCCACAGCCCAATGTGTAACCACTGCACTGCCTGGGCTCCTGCAGGAGAGGCTTAAGCCTCCCCCACCTGTCAGCACAAGGAAACCCAAGGGCAGAAAGAGAAGAAGTCCAGTTTTACAAAATAAAGTGTTTATTATGAAATTAGAGATGGAGGCCCCTCCCCTTCCTCCCTTTTCCCCTTCTCCAGCTGCCTCCCTGTTTCCCTCCCATCCCCGCTGGGGCCTGGAAGCACACAAGACAATGCCCAGGGCTGGGATGCTGGGGCCTGCTGACAGCTGGGCAGAGCCCCAGGGAGGCGTCCACGTGGGGGCTGGAGCTCTCGCCCTGGGGGGGTGGCTGGCTCCTTCCAGGCTGCTGGAGGCCAGTGGGGCCAGGACGAGGCCGTGAGTGATGGATGGAACCATGCAGGCAGGTCTGTAAGGACCGGAGAGGCGCAGAGCAGAGGGGGTTAGAGACCTGGGCACCCCACCCCCCACCCCTGCAGAAGGGGTTCAGCCCATCCCTTGGCCCACACAGGTTTGGGGCACTGACCTGGGCCAGTGCGTCCCCTGCAAGAAGGTGGGCAGCAGTGGCTGGGAAGTTTCTCTTGCTTTTGAGATGGACAAAGGGGAAAAAAACCGACAACCAAAAAAGCCAGTCCAGGGACCCAGAAGAATGAAGGGTGTGTGTGTGTGAGAGCATTGTGTGTATGGTGGGGGGCGGACAGCAAGGTGAGTGAGGGATTCCGAATAGAATCGAAGGACAGAAACAGAGCCTCAGAGGAGAAACCACAGTGAGAACAGAGGTTGGTTGGGGTGGACGCTGCGAGACCCAGGCAGAGACCGCGAGCGAAGTGGAGAGAAACACGCAGAGATCCCTGGAGAGACACACAGACCAACTCGGGAGGGGTGGGGTGGAGGGTGCTCTGGGGCAGGAGGGCTGGGGGACCCGGAGGCGGGGGAGTCCTGGGGGGCTCCTCGGCTGCCTGGACGCCCCCCTCCTCCCCGCCGGGCTCAGCTCAGACGGCCTG